CTGACAAGCCTACATTAAAATGGACTGTGAAATTTATGTTCCAACTCGTAATGTATATCTTAAGGAGCAGGGTTGGTGCCCATAGCTATAATTTCTTGCCAGCACAAAAAATACCATTTTGGGGATTTTGCGGGCTCCGTAATATACCTATTTTCTTTTTGCTTATATTTCAGGGACAGTGTACCTATCAGTTTGTTTGCTTGTTTGGTTTTTTGGAGGGCTTCCCCAGCTGACCTATTTCGTATTGAAACAATATAATTCATGTAACTTTTAAATGATCTTGTCATTTTCAAAAATGATACATGGCAGCCATAGGACATGGTCAGTAGTGGCCAGCAGCTACAGATATTGCTCAGGCCTATTTAAAGTTAAATTAAAATTTTATTTCCAAAATAAGTAGAGCCATGTAAGAGCATACGAATTATCCAGATGTTCCATGCCGATAACACACTAACTTACAGTAATAACATAATAAACCATAATGCATTATAATGGTCAGGACTAGAATTAAGGATGCTTTGTGCTGCATTATGAAGGTCTTTATAGTGCATTATTGATGAGTCCTTCACAAAGCATTCATAATGCATTACAAACATGAGTATTATGTGTTATGCCTTTTAATAAATATTGCCGTATTTATAATACTTCATGAATGCATTGTAATGCATTATGATGGTATCTATAATTCATTATGCATGAGTGCTTTAAGAAAAGTGTTACCATCATTTCTATGACTGGCTGATTTGGAAAGGCAGTTATTGAAAACCTACTACAAAGATGTATACTTACATTCATCTTCTCAATGTTATTGCGCAAATTTTAAGAATTAATATCAATATTTTCCAGGATGGTTCGTTTGACTGCGGCAGCTCCTTTTATTGCAATGTGAACTTGCGCAGACACTGTGCAGAATCCCTTACGAACCAATCAGAAGGCAGTTCACACCTACGAAACCCGGTCCCCAGGGCCAATTGTTAACCAACTTTAAAAAAAAAAATTTCATCAGAAGATTAAGTAGTTCTAAATTAGCATGTGTCTGTTTGATTTTATAATTGGCTTCAAACTGCAACAAATAATCCCAAAATTTCAAACAACGTGACATTGTTTTGAATTAATAAATGTATTAATATTTCAGTGTCATTTCTCATTCTTTTCTTAACATATTGAGACAAGTTTGTGGGTCATTTGAATAAATGAGATGACAGGTCTTATAAAACAGAAGTTCCACTGGCAGCGTCACAGACAGGGAAGCCAACACTCACACTCAGGGTACACACACACACACACTAACACACACACACACACACACACACACATACTAACACACACACACATACTAGACTGTGAAATATTCAGTGCCTACAACACTTACTGTTTACAGTGTAAATATAGAAATACCAAAATAAAATTATAAATTAGCACACACTAGCAGTGTAAGGCAGGCTGGTAACTTGCATCATTAAGTCTTTGCTTATGAGCCACACTGGCATCACTGTGCCCCCACCTGAGGGCTCAGCTGTCCCTGGACACCCCCAAATCCAACACAAAGTCCTGCAAATGCGCCAGAGGCAACCAGTTTATCACAATCCTCAGGGTCCCCAGTGTACTTCCTCCCTCTCTCACATCTTCATCCACAGCCAGTGCAGGGGGGTCAGTTTGGGCCAGGAGGCAATATGGTGCCAAACAATCCCTTCTGATCCTTTCATTGCACAGGTGATAGACGACGGAGAGGTGCTTCCTGATCTCCCCTGGACAACTCCAGTGACTGTCGAGCCGATGCAGCTGAAGCCGTACGTGAGACTGATGGCTTGGGACCTTCTGAGTAGTGCACGCATTACAGCGGTGCTTGAACAGTTCCGTGTCCTGACTCCAGCTGGACCAATAAAAGCAGCAAATCTGCTCCAAAGTGCCTAGACCCTGTCACACTGTACGCGGCCCTCAGGACCGATGTGCGGAGGCTCCAGTGTACCAGCAGCTAAACCAAAGGTCTGTCGCCATCTGGAAACGACCAGTGCTGATACAGCAGCCTGTACCCCTCACTGAGAGTAGATGGGCTTGGCGTTAGGGCAGAGTATATAGACATATCAACCTCCCTTCACTCCTGCTGCCTCCCCGCCTGTAACAAATCCTTAACTCAGGCCAGGATTGGGTCGCTTGCCTGCTCCAGCTGCAGCTGCTGGAGACTGATAGCCTCCAGGCCCTCACTGCCATTGTACTGCAGTACTGCCCACCTCTGCAGCCCACCTCTGCAGCACCCCTTGGCTGCAGTCACCATCTCACAGGGGCGACAAGAGAGCATCTGCATTCTCATGGAGCCTATCCGGCTGGTGCTGGACCTCGAAGTTTTACCCCTGCTGGACGATCAGCCAACAGACCAGCTGTGCCTTGGGGTTACAGAAGCTTATTAACCAGGTGAGGGATGTGTGGTGTGTGCGTGACCTGAAGCTCTGTCCACAGAGCTAGGGGCAAAATGTGTTTCTTGGAACATGGGGCAAAGAATTACTGAAACTTGAAACACCCAAGTGGTGAGTTTGTGGATGATTTTAAATAAAAGAAATGACAGCTATTTTTAAACAGATGTTCTGCTTGTTAATCATAGCCCATCGACCTTACCTTTTCCTGCAGTTTTCAACTAGCAGAGGCATGGACAGGGAAGTTGGCAATTTGCACTCATACTAATGAAAATTCATGAACTCTAGGGTGAAACATTATATATTTGCAACACTTATTATTTATAACATAAGTACACAAATAAACACATTAAATTACGGATTTAAATTATGGCCTGAATAACCAATGACCTGCATCTGTTTGTGTTGTATTCAGAATGAGAGAACTTTTATTATTCCCCAAGGAAATTGCTGAGTAGTATTGTACAGTATTGCACATATTGTCAATTCTGCTTCGGCACTTCTGTGTAGAATTCACAAGAATATTATGGTTTCTCAGAACATGTGACAATGAAAACTTGAAACACTTAAGTGGCAAGTTTGTGGGTCATTTTAAACAAAGGAAACATCAGAAGTTCTGCTTTTTAATGAGAGCCCACTGATCTTATTTTATCCGGCACTGTCGACTAGCAGTGGCACAGACAGGGAAGCCGGCAATTTACAGCCAGACTAACAAAAGCACGTGCACTCCAGGGTGAAACTTTATACGACATTTAATATTTACAATAGAAAGACAAATGCACACATCAAATTACGATTTAACACAAAATAGCGTTGTGTCGCAACGTGTCCTGGTTCATAAAACATGTGCTGACCCGCCATGCAGTGTCATGCATTCGAACGGTCATGAAAATCCCGAAAAAATCATGGAATTAAGAAATCACGTTTTCCAGACCTGGGAAACATATGGAAAATAAAGAGTACCACAAAGTTTTGGAAAAGCCATTAGATTTTTGAGAGAACTACGTTTTCTTTTAGATCAACATTTGCAGTTTATCCTCGTCTCTCAGTATGTTATAATATAAATACAATTTCCGCGTCGGCGTAGGTCGCTGGGGCAAAAAACGAGAGAAAATACGTTTTTCCCCTCTGGACACCGTTTTTCCCCTGTATACGTCTCGACATGGCACTTTCCCACGGAGCACTGGCATTAAAATACGCTTTTAAAAACCGGTGGTGATCGACGTGCATTTTTGAACGGGTGTTGTACGTGTTAAAAGTCTTTCAGTACTAAGATGTACCTATGCTAATACTTTACATTTCAAGGGCAAAGGGTTCAGTCTGTAATGCATTAAATTGGTTGTTGTATGTGTATCTAGTGTTGTATTCTTACTCCAATATGATATTATTTTGCCTTTTAATCATAAACGCTGATACTCAAAAGAGGTTCGTTGTTTTGTCTGATATGCTGAATAATATGTCTGAATTGGAACACGCGAAGCAAAAGGTAACAATATGTGTAAATCTATCATTAAGTTGTAAGAGTTTGTGCAACAAGACAAATTATTTCTGCATGCTATTAAAACTGCTCCGACGTAACATAATCGTGATATATGCAATATAAATGTGTCGCAAAAGAATTTAGTAAAATGCTATCTTAAAGTGTACCCAACATGTTTTAGAATATGTAAAGCTGAAATATTAGATGTGATTAAAAAAAAAGGTGTGTGTGTGTGTGTGTTGTCAGCATCATACATTTAGTGTGGTCTTGTGGGCACTGCTAAAAGAAATTACAATAAATATTTTTGACTTGAAGAGTAGATAGAATGTGTGAAGCCCATATGAAGTCCAAATATCAGACGGTACCAAAGAAAGACTTTAACACGCATGAGTGTGCAGTTGTCTGTGGTGTTTTGAGGCCGCAGTGTACTTTGCATATAAACACTTAATGTGGTACCTGTGAAAATAATTGCTCTGCTCTGAGTACAGGCTAGCAGGGAAATTTCGATACAGAATGTGTAAAGTTCAATTTTGAGTATCAGACAGTGTGAAAATAAAGACGTGTGTGTGTCACACACAGAGAGAGAGAGAGAGAGAGTCGGTGTCATTCAAGAGGTTATTGAAAGGAGCACAATTAATATATAAAATAAACATTTTCACAAAAGGTATAAATACATTTCAACCATATAATTGCCGACATCAGCGCGGGTGAGTCTTTATTTATTTATCTATCTATCATACTGTACTTGTTTGATTTATTTGCATGGTTAAGTTGAACAAGCAGGCAACACATGTGGCAGTACTCATGTTTATTCTGTTTCAGACAATAGTACAAGAAGTGACCCCCGTGCTGTGGATGATACTTCTGGCGGTGAAGGCGCTGCTGTGACGAGCACATCATCGGGCGCTGGCTGCACACACTCCCGTGCCTCAGAAACCGAGGGGCGACCATCCGGCCGTGTGCTCACAGAAGCTGTGCTGCACTCACAGAATGCAATAGTAAATGCTGTAACAGATGTTGCAAATGAACTAAAAAATATACATGCTGTGCTATGTGACATTAACCACACGTTAAAAGGATTAGTGAAAAAATAAATTCTGCGTTTGATGACCTGTTTTTACATTCTTTCTATTACATTCAAACAAAGTTGTAATGCTGCCCCATGTCAGGGTCAGCCCCCCACTGTGGTCCTTCCGTGCCCCTTCCCCGTTTGACCAGCAGGTGGTGCTGGTCATTCCATCCTTCACGTCAGTCCTTGTTCTCCCCTCTCTCCTGTCTGGTCTCGTGGCTCAATGTATTAAGCATGTGCTGTCTGTTTGCCCCTCGGTCCTGAGTTCCCTCTTGTCTTGTGTTCGAATCCCACCTCCTCTGTTTTTGTATTTAGCTCCCTGGTTTTTTCCTTTGTGCTTGTTAAACCCTGGTGTCTGATTTAGTATCGGTTTTGGTTTTGTTTCTTGTTCCCCTGCCTGTGTTATTCCTATGTACTTCCCTAGTGTTGATATATGCATTCTTGGTTAGTTCTTAGTTTCCCTGATTGTTAGTTTCTTTGAGTTAATTGGTTTCACCTGTGTCTTGTTTCCCTAGTCCTTGTTAATCAGTCTCACCTGCCCTGTGTTAGTCATTACCCCTTGTAGTATATTAGTTCCTGCCTTTGTTCTGTTCCCCGCTGGTTCATCGTGTCTAAACTATTGTCTAAGCTTGTGTCTCTGATGTCTACGTTTGTCTGTGGTATGCCCTTGTCTCTGGTTTCCCCCATGGTTGGATTTTACTTTAGTGTCTTGCTTTTCTAGTTAGTTTTTCCATGTGTGTTACTTAGTCTAGTTTATTCCTCCCTGTTTAGTTTTGACCCCTCGTGGTCTTTTGGTTTTCTTGAGTTATCTGTTTGATTTAATAAACCCTGTTTTGTTTGCTGGAGCCGCAAGTGGGCCGTCCGCCCCTTATTTGTGCACCATGCCCCGTTCCCGTTCCCGAGATGCCCGCAACCATGACACCCCATTTGCCGGATCATTTGGTGGGTCGAGGTCAGGTTCATCAT